CTAAGGCCTTGGACAACGATTTGTAAACTCCAGATTTGGATTCCACTGTGACTCTTTTTTGGACAGATGGCTATCGCTGTGTGAACAATGTGTGGAAAATGTTTTTTGTTTTTGTTTTGTTGAAAGATTGCCTCAAACTTTTCTGCTTCGGCAAAAGAGAGACGTTTCTTACAGTCTACATTAGCGTGGAGTCGGTCGGAGTGTGGCGCAATGTGCTGTGGGCGGATGAGAGTCAGCTACTGATGTGGCAAGAGTTTTACAAAAATGGATGCGCATTGCCCGTCAGGGTAAGACATGCTGGAGTAACAGAAGGAAAAAATAAATGTAAATGAGCCCCTGACTCATTGTCTATTGATTACAGCTGTATGCATGAGTTTGTCCCATCTCTAATAAAGTGTGCCCCCCCTCCATCACACGTGTGCCACTAAAGTTTTGTGACAGATACCAACTTTTCACATACTTATTGGCAACGTGTTAATCCACGCTCTCTCCGAATCAGCTTCCTCAGTATGCGCCAGAGCGTCCCTAAAGGAAATTAATTCAGCAGAACTTCTGGATATAGACCTGCATTGATCTGTTGCTGCGGCACGTCTTTTTTTGTTTGATGGAAACTCTGATAACAATCCAAACACGGCAAATGCAAAGCTTCTCTGCGATAATGATGCCACTGTGTGTGTATGTGGTGCAGGGGGCATTTTTTTATGAAATCAACACTTGTTAAATTTCAGAGCGCTGTCTGCAGAGGTGAGCTCGATTAGACTGTTTTCTAATGAGACAGAGCGTAAATAAACTTCAGAGTCTACAGAGCTACTGCCACCTGGGTGCAGAATAATGTCAGTCAAGTCTTGCATACTATACTGGGAGGATGAGTCATTGTAGTGCATTCTAATCCCCCTTTTTTCTTTACGGTACTCTCAAACTATCCGGGAAATCATTATCTGACAAAATCCCCACAGAGAGCAAAAAATGTCTCCAGATTCACTTCCACCACCTAAATCTGCCTTACCTGCACTTTTTTTTTTTGCCCCATCCCCATTCCTCTGTCTCTTTCCACCACTCCCAGATGTGATGAGGTGCCGGCGAACGCTGTTCACCTGCCACCGTCTCCCTGCACCTTGCTCGGGTTGGCGAGTCATTTATTAGCACTCCATTATGTCACGTAGCCAAATGTATTTCATTTGTTATGCGTGCAAGGGTGACGAAGGTTGAAATGTTCTTGCTAATTTAATGCCTATTGAGACAGAAAATTGGATCTACTTCAGGGAGCCGTGATGAGTGTCGGGGATGCCATAGCTGCCAATTTCTGCCCAAGATTAATTAAAATGAAATTTCCATGGGACCTGTGACAGTCGCCCGTCTCCTGTCCATATTTCTTCATAATTGGAATCTCAGTCAGTCTCTAGAAGAGGAAGGGGGTTTCTTGGACAAGTCAGGGGACCGTGAGGGATTTGCTGAGGTTCACAACCGGTGAGAGTCCCGATTGTGTTTGGACAAAGAAAAAAAATACCCCCACACACTTTGAAACCTTGGAACGCGACACATGAAAGAGTATAACTCATTTCAGGAAGGAAGATGAATAAATGACTTACGGCACGCTGAAGGACAATGAAAGCCCACTTACACTCCACCAGAGGCTAAAACCAGCATACAGGAGAAAAAGACCCAACTACGAGGCTGGGATACTGTGTTTAGCTGTGTAGTGGAAAGTCATGCATAACCAGAGCGGCTATTACTTTACACAGGTGTGCTGGCACAGCATGAAAACCACAACACGCTATATCACTTTGTGATTCAGGACAGGTGTGCTGCTTTCATTCTGCCGGGTGCTCTGCTACAGTCGGAACTGTGAATCATTTCAAACAGCAGCACAGCAAAACAAAAAAGATGTTGCACCACGGGGGCCTCGGTTTACCACTTTTGTTCTTCTGTCAGGTTTATGCATTTCAAAAAAACCAGCCATTTATCAGCACATTGTAATGACTGTGGTACCAGCTTCGCTTTTTATGATATTACAACAATAGCACCAAAGTATGTCAGGGTAGAATTAACAGCTGTTATTGCAACAAGCTCTGGCAGCTTTTATTCAGCGTGGCGCTGAAGGAGTCCGCCAATTAAGTGACTCGTCACTTTGATAGAAAACATTTCGTTTAAAACTCGTAACTGTTTTTTGCTCTTTTTTTTTCTTTTTATAAGGGAAGCTCCACTGATTTGCATGTTGTACAAGTTCAGCTTAGTCATCACAATTTGTAGTAAACTTGTCTAAAGCCTTCTGTGGCTCTGGAGTGAGCTCTTTAAAGTTTGAAAAGATACTCTGAACAGAAGGTTTGTGAAACCCAAAAGCCGTGAGGATTTTCCAGTCAGAAAGTCTGCACTGAAATTGCTGCTAAATTACATAAATGTAGGTTTAATGGAAATTTACACTGAGTGGTTGGGAAAGTTACAGGGAAAATCTATATTTTATGCATAGACAGAAATAACTGTCAGTATAGGTTTTTGCTTATCTTGTCTAATTCATATCTGTGTATGTATTTTGTATATCCTGTATAATTGCAGAACTGGGATACAGTCGACTTGCAAAAAAACCTCCAAAACAAAGCCAAAATCTAATGTAAAAAACTGCAGTTCCTCCAAAAAAACCCAGTCAAACCCAGTTGGCACTCCATGTTTAAATGCCCATCTTTAAAGTTGAAAATAAAGATATATACAGTGATATAAATGTTTTTGTTCCCTACAGCTAATTCTCTCCCTCATAACAAGCGAGAGAATTTTTATACAACCCTCTCTTTCAAATTGTATTAAGACTTAAAGTTAAGCATTTTTTGTTATTTTGTTTCGATAGGACACTGTGCAGTTAAGAGGACGGGGAACAACATGCAGAAGTATATTTTAGTTTATTATACTTTCTCTGTCTTTGATCCTTTTCCTTGGTGTCATTGATATTTATAGAAAGAACAGAAACTCACTCAGATTGTTAAATGGTCTAACAGGCTGATTAGTGAGCCATGGCTAAACCCAGCATCCCTGCTCATCGGGCGGTTACAGAGGTTACAGAGCCAGTTTGATTTTACTTGACGACTTGTACCCTTTGCATAATGAGTTTTCAGTTTCCTGGTTCTGCATCCAGGCTTTCAGTCCCAAAGTGCACACCAACATGGCTTATACAGTAATTATCTTTGTTCCAACAGCCATCAGACGAACAAGTCCTGATGCATTTTCAACACTGTTATTTGGGAAATAATGGTTTTTGGGTGAAATTCGTTGCAAGGAGTTTATGCTTTACACTCTATAAAATGATAGTATTATTTCACCGATCTGTGTCTGTAACTTTGTGAATTTATGTACGTACCTTGCTAACCAAATTAGCTAGCTTTTTTTTGTAAGTATGATCACATATAGTGCCAAAAACAAAAGCTCAAGGATTAAAAACGAGGAATCAGAAGGTAACTGCTGACTTTACGTCCATCCTTTATATACAGACTATTATTATAGGAACTGTAGACACTTTTGGAGTTTGTCTCATATGACGATGGATAAAATGATCAGTAGTATATCATTTTCTCCTTTAATGATCCCGATGTACCTAACAATATAAAAGCACAGTAGATTGTTGAACCCTTCAATGAAAGCTAGCATGAGCATAAACATTTAAAAAAAAGATTGGAAACAATGTAGAACATCCTTAACTAGGCAGAAATGTAATATATATTTGCAAAATATGTTTACACAGTTTGGAAGTGACAACCATATGGTATCCAGATGCTGTGCAGTGTTTTAAATTTCAATTCTAACCTTATTGCAAAAGTGACTCCATGTACCTTTGATGCAGCTACAATCACGGCTGGTAGAGCAAGAAAAATGTTCAGGAACACAATCAGAAGGATTTTTTAGCCTGTGTTACTCTAGATATAACAGCCCAATCACCAAAATGCAATAGACCGGTATATGACCTACAGGGAAAACTTTGCGATAACATTTTTTTGTGTGATTAACAATTGTATTACACTCCTGAGAACAATCAAGCAATCCACAGCGTATCTATCCAAATAAGTAGAGTGCTTTCCCCCGCTTTCATCCATTCTGTAATCCTCAGTCAAAAGATCAAGCTGCTTTCTTACCTTTCTAGGTAGACAGGGGCTTAAGTACTGTCACTGGATGGATTTGGGTTAGAACTGGGATGACTCTAAAGTCTGCTTTTTTTACTTACTTGGTCAAAGCAGAAGTGCTCATAAGCTAAATGCAGGTTTCTGTGGGAATTAAGGGCAGCTGTGCACACAGGCGCATCGTGAAACACACACGTCAGAGGTAAGTGAGCAAAATAATAATGAAAGCAGAGGGAGCTAGCAAAGAATTGAAATAAAAATAAAGAAACGTAGACTGAGGCTGCTGCAAAAAAGCGTACTGCTTAATTACATTAGGAGTTCAACATGATCAAAAAGTGCAAAAGGAAAGAATTTCATCTCTTAGACAGTAAGTGAAAACACATATCAACTGGGATTCCTGCTAATTAAGGACCCGCACAACACACGCATCTGTCCTTATTTCCTTTGTGGGGCTCTTCTTAGCCCACACGAAGTCTTCAACAAAGCAACAAACTTAATTATACATTTAAGAATTTGTTTCTTTTAAGTTACAGAATCAAAACATTTTTTCTCCCTTTGTAGAAGTAGACTGTAAGTACCACTACCACGGAGAGCGCAGCGCACTGGTGTTCCGCTTATTGCCGAGGCTCATCGCTTTCCCTAAGAACAAGCTGCTTGGAACCTGTCCCCTGGGAATGGCTCTAGTTACGAAGATGAAGAACATCAGCGTGGAAGTTTCGGAATAAAAGAGAAAATCCTCATCGAATTCAAAACCTTCACTAACCACATCTGCCCGATTGTCCTTTCCATAGGAAATGTTCTGCTGAAAAGGAAAAGATCTCCATGTCCGTTTCCACACGGAAATCATAAATAAAGGACTTAATATCAAGCCTTAACATGGTTGATGTAGCGCAGAGTTCAGAAATATACGCTGATCAGGCATAACCTTGCGATCACCTGTCTAATATGTTGTTGGTTTCTCTTCGGCCCTTTGTTTGTTCTTCACACAGATGCTTGATTGGATTGAGATCTGTGGACTTTGGAGGCCAAGTCAACACCTCAAACTTGTTGTTGTGCTTTATGGCAGTGTGTATTATCCTGCTGAATGAGACCACAGCCATCAGGGAGGACTGTTTCCATGAAAGGGTGTAAATGGTCTACAACCTACTAAGGTATGTGGTGTCAAAGTAACATCCACATGGATCCCCAAGGTTTACCAAAAGAGCATTGTCCAAAGCATCACACTGCCTCAGCTGGCTTGCCAGAAAAACTACAGTTTTGGAGACCCAAACCCTCAAACTTGCTCAAATCCCCATGCTTGCCTATTTTTTCTGCTTCTAACATCAACTTTGAGGACAAAATGTTCACTTGCTCCCTAATATATCTCACCCACTAACAGGTGGCATGATGAACTGATAATCAGTGTTATTCACATTTTTTTCAAATAAGCAGCAAACAACAGGAAAGTAGATTTTACAAAAGAGTAGAAAAAGTGAAGTTTCTGTGATAATAGAGTCTTATTCCTCCAGAGTTGAGCAAAAGAATCATCTGCATCTGCAATTTCAAAATTGTATTCATGAGACTTTTCCCCCTCGACTCATTCTACCATGTTGGGGGAACTTGATGCCTCTGGATGCAGTTAGTCTTTCCTCTCAGGATCTACTGCTGTTGTGGTTGTTTCAGCCAGGCTACCTTTAGATATTTAGCCTCAGCTCTTGCTTAGATTTTGCAGTTAAATAAGTGATTCATATGAACTGATTCCTATGATTTGATGGCATAATCTGGTTGAGCTAAAGTTTTGCCTCCGCCTAAATGCTTAAATAAATATTCAGTTTGCACTTAAAGGCTAAATTTTGGATGCTGACATTTAAGATTCCTTGTTTAATGGTCAAAGTTATGATTTTTGTATAAATATTACATATTCATACATATATATTTAAAGTTTCAACAGCTTGCAATGGCCCAAAAAAGTAACAGATCTCTGAGGCCTATTTTCCTGGCCACTAAAGTAAAAACTGCATTGCACAGATCATTATGGATTAAACAGGTGTCTGTGCATTAACAGGTGTGTCTGGTAACTGTAGCTGACTAGTGGGACTACTCTGTAAATGGCGTGACACTTACCGTATTTTTCGGACCATAATGCGCATTAAGCAAAACATAACAGTCAGATAAGTCAAACTTTACTCATTCTTCTTGCTTCCTCCACTTCCCTACCATTCATTCATTAATGTTGAATTCTCTCACAGCTGTTCTATTCCCATGTTGTTGCAGTATATTAATGACTAACCTTGTATCGTTCTCAGTTGTTCTCCTGACTGGAGTTTGGTCCGTTTACAGCATCCTGCCATGCGATTGCATTTGTCGCCAACCATCGGGAACCGTCACATTAACTTTTATTAAGTGGAAAAAAGTTAGCATTCATCCTCCAGCGTCACTGTGTTTATGTTATGCTAATATAGTTGTGTTGCTAGCGATCATGTAGCACATTATTATACACCAGCTAGCCCAACTTCAGTAACCCTACAAACCCGATAAAGATGCAACGCTGCTCATTTTATTAAAGATGAAAGAATTTAGTCAGTTTTTAACTCTCAGTGATGCCACGTCTGACTTTGGGAACTGATACGGACAGAGTTTTGGACCCAGATTACTCCGCGAGGCTCCTGACTACAGTAGCCGTAATGCTCCGACAAACTTACCAAAGTTGTACTAAAACATTTTTTTGACAGATTTTTGAGCATATAAAAATAAAATCGGTTCAAGCTCAGTAAGCACAACCAGAATTCATACATAAAGCGCACCAGATTATAAGGCACACTGTCGATTTTTGAGATTTTAAGTGTGCCTTATGGTGCGGAAAATATGGTACATAATGCTCTACTACTCTATTTGAGTGCTTTCTTACTACAAGGCTGATACACTCATTCACAGGCACATTCATATTAAGGCCTTTTTCTATGCCAAAGCACTTTTTAACCTAATATTGACACAATCACACTTCAGTAGGTGCATCTGTGGAAACTCAGGGTTCAGCATCAAGGATACCCTGGCATGACACAGACATGCAGATGGAACCGCCGAAGTTCCAATCAACAGGTGACCTGCTGGATAGTCTATCCTGATAGTGGATGAGAGTTATTACTTGCATGTAGGTAGTCAGAGTATAACTGGTTACTGGTGACTCCGACCAGGGTAATACTCTTTAGGGGCACAGAGAGCAGGTGCAGAACCTCCTCCCTCTAACAGTTCAAAATCCAGCCAGTGTGATTTAGTCTTTTCTTTTAAATTAGTTACCTGTCATAATATCAAACTGATTCCAAGACGTCACCGTACCTGTCAAGGTTTAGCTGATAAGCATCACCCAAGGATGCATGTCGATTTGAGTTCAATCTTTTGTATTTGAGGCAATTTACCTAAATAGCAGACCATTCTTTGCCTCACAGTAACTGCTGCCTGCAGTTTTATCATATCCTACAGCCATTTGTGCAATGCAAACAATTACTTCATTTTTAAATGTAAGAAACCATAAAAAAATAAAACAATCTGGGACAATGAAAAGAAGAAAAATGTGTTTAAATATATACTTAAAGTAGAACAATAAAGGAGTTCAGTTGAGGCTGCAATCTGAAGTTGCATTCAGAACACAAAAGCAGCACACAGGGACGGCAATTCATCGAGCCTCGGGATCTGCTATTTATTTTTTATGTTCTGAGGGAAATAGTGTACAGTGCCTCAGCCATTCATACCTCAAACAGAGCAGCCTTGATGCTGAATCGAGGCAACAAGGAGACGGAACAGAAAAGGTCGACTTCTGAGGAGGTGACAGGCTGAAGGCACCTTGACAATGGGGAAAAATCAGAGCGTTCGAAATTTATCTCTCATACGTACAGCACATGTACAGGATCGGCACACGCAGAGCTAAACGAACGTGGTGACGTATCAAATCGGACACGGGGGAATTAAAAAAAAGGCACAAAGGCACACCCACTGTCATTCGAGTAAAAGATAATACCCTGTCTGTTCTTCGTATTTGGGCCACTTACATAACTGTCATGAATTATGTAATGACCTCCATTATTAATTTTTAAATGCACCCGCTTTGAAGCATCTATAATTGGGCATTTATATGTTTTGTGCCTTGTCTCTGACGTGAGTTCAGTGGCAGCGAAACAAAAGCCTCAAAAGTGGAGAGCGCACACTTCGCCTCATTGCTATGTGGCTCAAGAGTACAGGCTGGATCTCTCCGATTAAAACTAAAGCAAGAAGAGGTTTCATCCTGTCACAGGGAATAAAAATGTGACACGCTGCTTTCTCTCTTTTTCTTCTCTCCCTCCCCTCCTGCTCACGGAAAGTTTCACAGAAAAATCTCGCAGACTGAGGAGAAAGCAGACTGAGGGGTGTTGACTCTGTGACAGCTGTCACGAAGCATTGTCAGCTGTTGTTAAGCCATGTGTATTTTGATAGCGCTACACTGAAGGCTTCAGCGTCTTGGAGCAGGTGTGCTAATTTACACAACAGTGAGGTTTACTCAGTAATGCCGCGCCGATGCTATAGCTGCTGTGCTTTGACACCACGTCACCGCCAAATTAGCCCGCCCGTCTCGGAACGTTCCCTCCATAAAACTGAAACTTTGAGGCAACGTTTTGGGAAAGCATTTGCAAGGCCATCATCGTAACACTAAGGCTTTTAATTAACGCCACTTTCTTTATTAAACGTATGCAGTGAGCTGCAGTGATTCACAATCAGCACTGCTCATAATTAGAGCAGAGAAGTCTCTATTGGAGTATCATGGTTAAAGCAGCATTCATGCATAATGTTAAAAGGAAGAAAAAAATCAAAACAAAACAAAGAGAGACTATTGTTAACGAGCCCCCTGGTTATTAAAAAAAAAGCTAAATAAAGTAGCTCGCTGATACCGAGGCTGCCTGTATGAAAAGATTTGCAAAAACCAAACAAAACACATAAATGACACATGGGACTCAAACACATGACACTTCATAATCCCTAATTAGGGATGGGTATCGTTTAGGTTTTATCCGATACCAGTACCAAACCGGTACTTTTGAAACGGTGCCGGTGCTTAAATGGTGCTCGAACCGGTGCTTAAAGAATGGAGAACACAAACTTTGTCCAAAAACCTCTCATGTTTAGCTGTTTTCCACTTTTTTTTGGTCATTTTAGCCTTTTTTGGCCAGGGTGAAGGGAGTATCTGCCATCAAACAAGAAGACAGCCGCATGTAACTACGACGGTGTTTGCTAGTTCACCTTACATGCATTAATGTAATAACGTGGTTAGCCTACTCAACGTAAATTACACACGAACAACATTAAGCTACTCACGCAGAGAAGAACGGCTGCTGCTGCCATCATCATCCGTCATCATTTCTGCTACACTGCAGGGCTAGGGGCCAGGACTCTTCGGGTTTTTGGGGGATGTTGCTAACTCCGGGTCCGATAACAGGCACCACACCCGCACTCGGTGTGAGGTCTCCAGCAAGCTATCAAATACGGTGATTTCTCGGCTTTTAAAAAAAACGCTATGCGTCGTCCAGGTGTTTCATCAGATTTGAGGTGTTACCTCCTTTGCACAGTATCAGCTTAAAGCACTTGTTGCAGGCTGCTGAGTTTGCATCTTTTGCTGTGAAGTACAGCCAGACTTTTGACCGCTTCGCCTTGGGCATTTTTAATCTGTAGCTCTGCTCTAAAAGAACGTACGTACCTGGCCCCGCCTACTATCCTCGGAAACGTAAAATGATTGGCTAGAATCTAAAGTGTATCACACTCAGGAAAAAAAAGCACTGAAATAAAGCACCGAAATGTGCGCTGCTTTTCGGTCTGGTTACTACCGTTTATGTCAGAAACGGTAACATAATGGCACCGGATACCGATACCCATCCCTATCCCTAACCTTGTTCCAAACCTTTGTAAGTGGAAATAAACTCAATCCCTTAAAATGGAAAATAAATGGAATAAAATTGCACTTTTTCTGTGGTGACAAATTTTACTGATCTCAGTTTCTTCTAAGAATCAATAGCCTAAATTTGCAAACAATCAGGTAGTTTTCAAAAAATAAAAACCAACCTTTTGACTATGGGGAGTTAAGACCATGCATTATACCATCTAGTCTCATAGTACACCATGACATCACTGTTTTCCACATGGGGATCAT